TTCACACAATGGTGATATTATCATGGTTTTAACTATTATATGATATGATATGATGCACAGGGGCACAACATAATCTTTTATCTCTCTTGTTGAAGCACCGAAGATGAGTGTCTTATTGGAGGTGATGAAATACATAAACCAGTTTAGTTATCCAATCAGGTATTCCCACCACCCTCTTTTTCTATGTTCTGTACAAGTAATTGATTCTCCCAAATCTATTTTTTTTTCAAATTTTCTTTTTATCTGCTACTCTCAAGAGGAGATTTACGTTGTTCGTTTGGTTTAGTTTTGCTTTAATAATTGTTAATGGAATTGTCTATTTACATTTGTTTGTTTGTAAAGTATTTATCATTCTGGGCAATGTTTCTCCAACTGACAGGTGTTCGATATGAATTTGGAGCAGCGATATTTTGGAGTCAAATTGTACGTTTTTCGTGGTAATTTGCCCTACACTTTCTTATACCCACAGGCAAGCTTTTCAGGTAACTTATCTATGCGTTTCTGTCCTTTCTTTTTTGTCCTTCAAAGTAAACAAGTGGAGTAAAGGCTTTGAAGAGTTTTCTTTTCAGCTACTGTTGCTTATTTTTTAAAAAGTTAATACGTTTATTACTATATAAACATTTTTACATCAGCATTCTAACTCAATTGTACGTTTTCATTGTATATGAATATTATTTGTTATGTATCTGTGTAGATTTTCTTATACATGAGCATAACAAATTTTAGATAAACGATTTAACCAATATCTTAAATTTTACATAGCATGTGGTCTTTTACTTCTCTTTTCAGGTAAATTACCATCACACCAAGTTACAATTATGTTCAAATGCTGTAAAATCACCAAATTCAATATGAAATTTGATGATTTATATATATTTATGTAGAGGGTGGTGGAATTCAGTAGTTCAATGTGACAATGAAGTTGACCCTATGAAGAAGAGAAGCTGAATCTGAATCTTGGTGATTTTTTCATATTATATTTTTATTGTTGTAGCCATTGACCGATTTTAAAAGCATCTTTTTTTTTTTGTTTTTCAAAAGGTAACCAATTGGAGGTGGGTCTCACACAAGAGGTTTCACAGAGAAGGAGATTATGAGAAATAGACAGAGAAGAAGGAGCATAACTGTATCACCGCTTAATAACCCATGTTCAATACGATGACGGTAACCAAAACCCATGGTGATGAAATCCGAAACTTCAATTAGCATCTACGATTCCAAAACCTCAAAATAGATGAGATCATTTGTATCCCCCCAACACTCTTGCTGCCTCTCTCTCTCTCTCTCTGTATCTCCATGTGGAACTTACTTTCAGAAACTATCATCACCACAAGAAAAAAAAACGTCACATTTTGGAAGACAGAAACAGGAGAATCAGTTTAAACTATGTCCCAGAAGAACATGGTATAACAGTAGTTTTTGCTTATGGTTTGATAATTGTATAAGCTGCAAACATCTTTACTTGAACTTGACTTACATCTTCTTCAGGCCATCAATTAGATGTAGCTCTGATGAAACTGTTGCTTCTCGTATGGCTACAAATGAAATTCAATTCTTTGATTTTTCAAAAGGCATGGTGCATAAGATTAGAATTCCTGGAATAGCTGCAGTAGAGCTTTCTAAGCAACCTGGATCCCATGATGCTGTATTTGTTCCAGAATCTAAGGTTCGTCATTCTAATTCAATACTCACCTTGAATTCTTAGTAATCATTTTTTAAGAGCTTCCATTTCCACTTAATTGTTGATATAAGCTCATTTATCTTGATATATGCATGTACACAGGCTTCCCAAAGTGAACCCATTAGTACAAGAACTTTCTTCAGATGTTCAACAGCTTAACATTGGAACCATGGTTCTACAAGGCTTCTGGTTGTGGTTCAATCAGATGTTGATAAAACTAACCAGAGTAGAGTTACTATGGAAAGTCAAAGCTGTATTATTTGACTTTAGATGAAACTCATAATGGGCTTCTGCCCTTACGTAACTTTATCTTTCTTTATACACTGAATGTAAGTATGTAACATTTCATTTGATAATATTTTTTTTAATTATTAATTATTATAATTTTTGCAGGAAAAGAAGGACCTGTACATGATGTTCAATGGTCGTATTCAGGGAAAGAATTTGCAATTGTTTATGGATGTATCCTTTTTTATTTTAAATTACATATGAATTAAATCTAAGATAATATAGGTAATAGTTTAGGGTTAATCTAAAAAAGACCTTATATTTTGTAGTTTTGCCTGAAAAAGACCTTTTATTTTTTCATTTTTTCCGATCTGGCCCTGGTAGTTTTTTTTTTTCAAAAATTTTTTAAAATGTGAGGGTTTATTTGGAAACATTTAGAAGGATGAGGGTTTTTTTTTTCTGAAACAAAAAAAAAAATTCAAAGTTGAGGACTTTTTTGGAAAAAATGGAAAAATACAAGGTCTTTTTCAGGTATTTCCCTATTGTTCCTTTGGTTGAAGATATGAATATGCTTTTATTTTCTCTTTTCATTTGCTGAAAAACTTATTGATCCTTTACTTTTGCAGGGTGCTTCCAATGGTAGTGGATAAGGCAAGGGTATTAAAGAGATATATGTATATACTATAAATATTGTCGAGAAGAGTGTTTCAAGCAACAATGGCACTTGTTTTAAAGGTGTCATTCTCATTCAGTTAGTTTTTTTTTTGAATCCTCCAAATTCTGATGAGAAGCATATCCATACTAGCTTCAAATCTGTCTTATATTACTAGCAAGGTTCATTGTTAAACATTTTCTGTTTTGTTCATGTGTGATTGATTGTGTATTATTTTCGTTTTTCAGATAAGAAACTCTCAATACCATGGTTTGAATAATGCAAGTGAATCCTTTGAACATGCCATACAACGTGTTATTGATGACAACCTTGAGTTGGGATGTGCATCAACTGAGAAGCTACTGTTATGGGTGTTTTATGAATGTCCAAAAGGTAGCTATTTATTTGCTTATAATCATATGATAAATGCTAATATTATTAGGCTTTTAAAAACAAAAGCTGTGAATATATTTATTTAACTGTACAAGTTTTTCCGTCTATAATCACAGCTTTGGTTTTAACTATAGTTAATGATATGATGCACAGGGGCAAGAACATAATCTTTTTATCTCTGTTGTTGAAGCACTGAAGATGAGTGATGCAAGAGTAATATTATTGTCTGCTCTTCACAATGTCATTCAGATTTTATCCAATTGCTACAATCCACCTGAGTCGCTTGTTGACCGGTTTAACTGGTAAGTTATTGGTGAGTGACATGGTGTCTAGTTGGTATGCATTTGATGACGTGTCAAATACATGCCATGCCATGTCACCTCACCAAAACTTACCGGTTGATTAAACTGGGAATAGAGCATTTTTTCAGTGGAACCAAAACTCAATGATTAATTATTCTCATTTTATTTCTTCATTTTTAACTTTTTAATTTATCAATCTAACCATCATTAATTTCATTCTTGTAAAACCAGGTGTCTGCTATTTAATGACTGGTTTTCCACTTTTCACAGCGGAAGTGGACAGAGGGTTTCTCTTTGCCAGTTTTCTTCCACCATTTGTTTCCCAATTTCAGAATCTTGAGGTATTTTTGAATCCTTTTGGTTTTAATCTATTAACCAAATTACTAGAAGCAGGAAGTTCCTTTGTTGCATTAAACTTACACTTTTATTGGGTTTGACCTAATTTTTTTATTAGATTAGGAATTCTGTTATGGAATACTATAATTGTAGGTTGTTTGTTCCTTTTTAATTTTCATGAACACAAACTAATGTTTTACTCTTTTTACAGGATGTTGTCACCTGAAACCATGGTGGGCCCCTTCAAACCCCAACCTCATCCGGGAACCAACATCTCCAAAGGTTAATTTCTTGAAACCAATTACATCAATATTTATCCAAATATATAGAAAGCAATTGATTAAATTACATGAATGGTCCCTGTGGTTTAGGGTAATTTGCGCGTTTGGTCCTTAACTTTTTTTTTTTAACTCGGAAGGTCGCTACTGTTTGTTTTTGTTACATGCTTGGTCCCTGTCTTACCTTAAAAAACTATTTTTCCCTTGATTTTTTAAAAATATTTAAATAAACACACCCCAACCCCCCTCACCTTACCTTACCTATCCGACTATTTTTTTCTATTCAAATAATAGTCTTTTTAAGTAAGACAAGGACCAATAGCGTAATAAAAACAAACAGTAGGGACTTTCCGAGTTAAAAAAATAAGTTAGGGACCAAGCGTGCAAATTACCCCAAACCATAGGGACCATTCGTGTAGTTTACTCAAAGCAATTTTGATAAGACTTGTTAGTTTTATATTCAAGAAAAAAGATTGCACTATTGCGTTGTGTTTTCAGTTTTTCCTTTATTAAAGTTATGCTTCCAGAACTCTTATTTCTTACAACATTTTAATTTAGAAAAGTTTACCCATTACATTATTGATTATGTATGGCTTTTGACTTATGTTTTCTGGTATGTGTTTGTAGGAGCTGTCATCACATGTTATTTGAAAGATGAGAGAAGAAATTTTCTTTTACCAAATAATATTCATATTAAGTCCAAGGTATGTCATTTCCTGATGCTGTTATTTTTTTTCAATTTCAATTTTCTCATTGACATTCTAAGATGCAATTGTGTGATACTCCAGAAATAGGAAAGTACTTTCATTTCATACTCCAGGTATGTTCCACCACTAAACCAGTCTATATTTTGTTGTGTCATAAATTCAGTAAGATAATTGAAACATCAAACTTTCCATTTCTCATCTTCGCATTTTACTTTAAAAAAACTTTCAATCAATGCATTTTATTTTTGAAAGCTTCCATTTTACATTCGATTTTCAAAAATCATTCCATTCTTCTCATGTATGCATTTTACTTTGAAAAAACTTACGATTAAAGCATTCTACTTTCAAAAACATGTATTTTACATTCAATTTTCATAAATCATCTCCATTTTTAGCATTGCACTTTAACTTTTTCTTTATATAACATCTTTGAAACATGAAACTTTTTATTTCTCATGTATTCATTTTAATTTCAAAAGACATCCATTTTACTTTGAAAGAAACTTACAACTAAAGCATTCTACATTCAAAACCTTCAATTTCACATTCAGTTTTTTAAAATCATCCAATTTTTAACATTGCACTTTAAAATTTTCTTTATGTAACATCCTTGAAACATCAAACTTCTCTTTTTCTCATCTATGCATTTTACTTTGAAAACATCCTATGAAAGCTTTTTGTTTTCAAAAACTTCCTAACATTTGATTTTCAAAAAACATCCGGTCTTTAGCATTGCACTTTAACCTTTTCTCATGTATTCATTTCACTTTCAAAAGAACTTACAATTAAAGCATTGTATTTTCTAAAACTTCCAGTTTACATTCAATTTTTCTAAAATCATCTCATATGAACATTACACATTAACTTTTTCTTTATGTAACATCAAACTTCTCATTTTTTCATGTATGCATTTTACTTTGAAAAAACTTTCAACCAAAGCATTCTATTTTCAAAAACTTCTGTTTTACATTCGATTTTCAAAAATATCCGATTTTTAGCATTTTACTTCAACTTTTTTCTTTATGTAACATCATTGAAACGTCAAACTTTCTTTTTCTCATCTATACATTTTACTTTGAAAAAACTTCCAATTAAAGAATTTTATCTGCAAAAACTTCCATTTTACATTCAATTTTCAAACATATCCCATTTTTAGAAGTGTACTTTACATTTTTCTTTCATTAACATCTTTGAAACATCAAACATCTTTTTTATTTCTTTCTCATCTATGAATTTTACTTTGAATAAACTTACAATTAAGGCATTATACTCTCAAAAACTTCCATTTTACAATGAAATTTTAAAAATCATCACAAATTTAACATTATACTTTACCTTTTTCTCTGTATAACTTCATTGAAACATCAAACGTCTGTTTTTCTTATTTATGCATTTAACATTGAAAAAACTTCCAATTAAAGCATTTTACATTCAAATACTTCCATTTTACAATCAATTTTCAAAAATCATCCCATTTTTAGGACTATATTTTAACTTTCCTTTTTGTAACATTTTTGACACATCAAACATCTTTTTTTTCTTATCTACGCAATTTACTTTGAGCCCATTAGTACAAGAACTTTCTTCAGATGTTCAACAGCTCAACATTGGAACCATGGTTCTACAAGGCTTCTGGTTGTGGTTCAATCAGATGTTGATAAAACTAACCAGAGTAGAGTTACTATGGAAAGTCAAAGCTGTATTATTTGACTTTAGATGAAACTCATAATGGGCTTCTGCCCTTACGTAACTTTATCTTTCTTTATACACTGAATGTAAGTATGTAACATTTCATTTGATAATATTTTTTTTAATTATTAATTATTATAATTTTTGCAGGAAAAGAAGGACCTGTACATGATGTTCAATGGTCGTATTCAGGGAAAGAATTTGCAATTGTTTATGGATGTATCCTTTTTTATTTTAAATTACATATGAATTAAATCTAAGATAATATAGGTAATAGTTTAGGGTTAATCTAAAAAAGACCTTATATTTTGTAGTTTTGCCTGAAAAAGACCTTTTATTTTTTCATTTTTTCCGATCTGGCCCTGGTAGTTTTTTTTTTTCAAAAATTTTTTAAAATGTGAGGGTTTATTTGGAAACATTTAGAAGGATGAGGGTTTTTTTTTTCTGAAACAAAAAAAAAAATTCAAAGTTGAGGACTTTTTTGGAAAAAATGGAAAAATACAAGGTCTTTTTCAGGTATTTCCCTATTGTTCCTTTGGTTGAAGATATGAATATGCTTTTATTTTTCTCTTTTCATTTGCTGAAAAACTTATTGATCCTTTACTTTTGCAGGGTGCTTCCAATGGTAGTGGATAAGGCAAGGGTATTAAAGAGATATATGTATATACTATAAATATTGTCGAGAAGAGTGTTTCAAGCAACAATGGCACTTGTTTTAAAGGTGTCATTCTCATTCAGTTAGTTTTTTTTTTGAATCCTCCAAATTCTGATGAGAAGCATATCCATACTAGCTTCAAATCTGTCTTATATTACTAGCAAGGTTCATTGTTAAACATTTTCTGTTTTGTTCATGTGTGATTGATTGTGTATTATTTTCGTTTTTCAGATAAGAAACTCTCAATACCATGGTTTGAATAATGCAAGTGAATCCTTTGAACATGCCATACAACGTGTTATTGATGACAACCTTGAGTTGGGATGTGCATCAACTGAGAAGCTACTGTTATGGGTGTTTTATGAATGTCCAAAAGGTAGCTATTTATTTGCTTATAATCATATGATAAATGCTAATATTATTAGGCTTTTAAAAACAAAAGCTGTGAATATATTTATTTAACTGTACAAGTTTTTCCGTCTATAATCACAGCTTTGGTTTTAACTATAGTTAATGATATGATGCACAGGGGCAAGAACATAATCTTTTTATCTCTGTTGTTGAAGCACTGAAGATGAGTGATGCAAGAGTAATATTATTGTCTGCTCTTCACAATGTCATTCAGATTTTATCCAATTGCTACAATCCACCTGAGTCGCTTGTTGACCGGTTTAACTGGTAAGTTATTGGTGAGTGACATGGTGTCTAGTTGGTATGCATTTGATGACGTGTCAAATACATGCCATGCCATGTCACCTCACCAAAACTTACCGGTTGATTAAACTGGGAATAGAGCATTTTTTCAGTGGAACCAAAACTCAATGATTAATTATTCTCATTTTATTTCTTCATTTTTAACTTTTTAATTTATCAATCTAACCATCATTAATTTCATTCTTGTAAAACCAGGTGTCTGCTATTTAATGACTGGTTTTCCACTTTTCACAGCGGAAGTGGACAGAGGGTTTCTCTTTGCCAGTTTTCTTCCACCATTTGTTTCCCAATTTCAGAATCTTGAGGTATTTTTGAATCCTTTTGGTTTTAATCTATTAACCAAATTACTAGAAGCAGGAAGTTCCTTTGTTGCATTAAACTTACACTTTTATTGGGTTTGACCTAATTTTTTTTATTAGATTAGGAATTCTGTTATGGAATACTATAATTGTAGGTTGTTTGTTCCTTTTTAATTTTCATGAACACAAACTAATGTTTTACTCTTTTTACAGGATGTTGTCACCTGAAACCATGGTGGGCCCCTTCAAACCCCAACCTCATCCGGGAACCAACATCTCCAAAGGTTAATTTCTTGAAACCAATTACATCAATATTTATCCAAATATATAGAAAGCAATTGATTAAATTACATGAATGGTCCCTGTGGTTTAGGGTAATTTGCGCGTTTGGTCCTTAACTTTTTTTTTTTAACTCGGAAGGTCGCTACTGTTTGTTTTTGTTACATGCTTGGTCCCTGTCTTACCTTAAAAAACTATTTTTCCCTTGATTTTTTAAAAATATTTAAATAAACACACCCCAACCCCCCTCACCTTACCTTACCTATCCGACTATTTTTTTCTATTCAAATAATAGTCTTTTTAAGTAAGACAAGGACCAATAGCGTAATAAAAACAAACAGTAGGGACTTTCCGAGTTAAAAAAATAAGTTAGGGACCAAGCGTGCAAATTACCCCAAACCATAGGGACCATTCGTGTAGTTTACTCAAAGCAATTTTGATAAGACTTGTTAGTTTTATATTCAAGAAAAAAGATTGCACTATTGCGTTGTGTTTTCAGTTTTTCCTTTATTAAAGTTATGCTTCCAGAACTCTTATTTCTTACAACATTTTAATTTAGAAAAGTTTACCCATTACATTATTGATTATGTATGGCTTTTGACTTATGTTTTCTGGTATGTGTTTGTAGGAGCTGTCATCACATGTTATTTGAAAGATGAGAGAAGAAATTTTCTTTTACCAAATAATATTCATATTAAGTCCAAGGTATGTCATTTCCTGATGCTGTTATTTTTTTTCAATTTCAATTTTCTCATTGACATTCTAAGATGCAATTGTGTGATACTCCAGAAATAGGAAAGTACTTTCATTTCATACTCCAGGTATGTTCCACCACTAAACCAGTCTATATTTTGTTGTGTCATAAATTCAGTAAGATAATTGAAACATCAAACTTTCCATTTCTCATCTTCGCATTTTACTTTAAAAAAACTTTCAATCAATGCATTTTATTTTTGAAAGCTTCCATTTTACATTCGATTTTCAAAAATCATTCCATTCTTCTCATGTATGCATTTTACTTTGAAAAAACTTACGATTAAAGCATTCTACTTTCAAAAACATGTATTTTACATTCAATTTTCATAAATCATCTCCATTTTTAGCATTGCACTTTAACTTTTTCTTTATATAACATCTTTGAAACATGAAACTTTTTATTTCTCATGTATTCATTTTAATTTCAAAAGACATCCATTTTACTTTGAAAGAAACTTACAACTAAAGCATTCTACATTCAAAACCTTCAATTTCACATTCAGTTTTTTAAAATCATCCAATTTTTAACATTGCACTTTAAAATTTTCTTTATGTAACATCCTTGAAACATCAAACTTCTCTTTTTCTCATCTATGCATTTTACTTTGAAAACATCCTATGAAAGCTTTTTGTTTTCAAAAACTTCCTAACATTTGATTTTCAAAAAACATCCGGTCTTTAGCATTGCACTTTAACCTTTTCTCATGTATTCATTTCACTTTCAAAAGAACTTACAATTAAAGCATTGTATTTTCTAAAACTTCCAGTTTACATTCAATTTTTCTAAAATCATCTCATATGAACATTACACATTAACTTTTTCTTTATGTAACATCAAACTTCTCATTTTTTCATGTATGCATTTTACTTTGAAAAAACTTTCAACCAAAGCATTCTATTTTCAAAAACTTCTGTTTTACATTCGATTTTCAAAAATATCCGATTTTTAGCATTTTACTTCAACTTTTTTCTTTATGTAACATCATTGAAACGTCAAACTTTCTTTTTCTCATCTATACATTTTACTTTGAAAAAACTTCCAATTAAAGAATTTTATCTGCAAAAACTTCCATTTTACATTCAATTTTCAAACATATCCCATTTTTAGAAGTGTACTTTACATTTTTCTTTCATTAACATCTTTGAAACATCAAACATCTTTTTTATTTCTTTCTCATCTATGAATTTTACTTTGAATAAACTTACAATTAAGGCATTATACTCTCAAAAACTTCCATTTTACAATGAAATTTTAAAAATCATCACAAATTTAACATTATACTTTACCTTTTTCTCTGTATAACTTCATTGAAACATCAAACGTCTGTTTTTCTTATTTATGCATTTAACATTGAAAAAACTTCCAATTAAAGCATTTTACATTCAAATACTTCCATTTTACAATCAATTTTCAAAAATCATCCCATTTTTAGGACTATATTTTAACTTTCCTTTTTGTAACATTTTTGACACATCAAACATCTTTTTTTTCTTATCTACGCAATTTACTTTGAGCCCATTAGTACAAGAACTTTCTTCAGATGTTCAACAGCTCAACATTGGAACCATGGTTCTACAAGGCTTCTGGTTGTGGTTCAATCAGATGTTGATAAAACTAACCAGAGTAGAGTTACTATGGAAAGTCAAAGCTGTATTATTTGACTTTAGATGAAACTCATAATGGGCTTCTGCCCTTACGTAACTTTATCTTTCTTTATACACTGAATGTAAGTATGTAACATTTCATTTGATAATATTTTTTTTAATTATTAATTATTATAATTTTTGCAGGAAAAGAAGGACCTGTACATGATGTTCAATGGTCGTATTCAGGGAAAGAATTTGCAATTGTTTATGGATGTATCCTTTTTTATTTTAAATTACATATGAATTAAATCTAAGATAATATAGGTAATAGTTTAGGGTTAATCTAAAAAAGACCTTATATTTTGTAGTTTTGCCTGAAAAAGACCTTTTATTTTTTCATTTTTTCCGATCTGGCCCTGGTAGTTTTTTTTTTTCAAAAATTTTTTAAAATGTGAGGGTTTATTTGGAAACATTTAGAAGGATGAGGGTTTTTTTTTCTGAAACAAAAAAAAAATTCAAAGTTGAGGACTTTTTTGGAAAAAATGGAAAAATACAAGGTCTTTTTCAGGTATTTCCCTATTGTTCCTTTGGTTGAAGATATGAATATGCTTTCTCTTTTCATTTGCTGAAAAACTTATTGATCCTTTACTTTTGCAGGGTGCTTCCAATGGTAGTGGATAAGGCAAGGGTATTAAAGAGATATATGTATATACTATAAATATTGTCGAGAAGAGTGTTTCAAGCAACAATGGCACTTGTTTTAAAGGTGTCATTCTCATTCAGTTAGTTTTTTTTTTTGAATCCTCCAAATTCTGATGAGAAGCATATCCATACTAGCTTCAAATCTGTCTTATATTACTAGCAAGGTTCATTGTTAAACATTTTCTGTTTTGTTCATGTGTGATTGATTGTGTATTATTTTCGTTTTTCAGATAAGAAACTCTCAATACCATGGTTTGAATAATGCAAGTGAATCCTTTGAACATGCCATACAACGTGTTATTGATGACAACCTTGAGTTGGGATGTGCATCAACTGAGAAGCTACTGTTATGGGTGTTTTATGAATGTCCAAAAGGTAGCTATTTATTTGCTTATAATCATATGATAAATGCTAATATTATTAGGCTTTTAAAAACAAAAGCTGTGAATATATTTATTTAACTGTACAAGTTTTTCCGTCTATAATCACAGCTTTGGTTTTAACTATAGTTAATGATATGATGCACAGGGGCAAGAACATAATCTTTTTATCTCTGTTGTTGAAGCACTGAAGATGAGTGATGCAAGAGTAATATTATTGTCTGCTCTTCACAATGTCATTCAGATTTTATCCAATTGCTACAATCCACCTGAGTCGCTTGTTGACCGGTTTAACTGGTAAGTTATTGGTGAGTGACATGGTGTCTAGTTGGTATGCATTTGATGACGTGTCAAATACATGCCATGCCATGCCATGTCACCTCACCAAAACTTACCGGTTGGTTAAACTGGGAATAGAGCAGTTGCCATGTCACCAAAACTTACCTTTATCTATGATTCTTGGATGGAACAGGTGACTAAGCATCCTGTTCTGTTCTGAACCTGTTTCCTAATAATTAATTATTCTCATCTTATTTCTTCATTTTTAACTCCTTAATTTATATAAATTTCATTCTTGTAAAACCAGGTGTCTATGCCATTTAACGACCGGTTTTTCCCCTTTTCCCAGTGGAATTGGACAGAGGGTTTCTTCTTGCCTGTTTGATTCCACCATTTGTTTCCTGATTTCAGAATCTTGAGGTCTTATTAAATCCTTTTGGTTTTAATCTATTAACCAATATACTAGAGGCAGGAAGTTCCTTTGTTGCATTAAACTTACACTTTTATTGGGTTTGACCTGTTTTTTTTTTTTTAATTTATTAGATTAGGGATTCTGTTATGGAATACTATAATTGCTAGCCTGCTGCTTCCCTCTTCTTTTCCCTTCTTGAAACAACGCTTCACTTAACTTCTCCTCTTCCGCCTTTTTTTTTCTTGAAATCGAAGCCTCACACCCCAAATATCAACTTATAAGCTCCAACCCCATTGAAGAGAAGACTTGAAATATTCTTTGGTTTGATCTCAGCTAATCAAACGTTCAGAATCTTGAAGCAAAGCAAAGAAATAACGAGTGATTTTCATCCCCTTTTTTCTTCGACATCTCTGCTTTCACCCAAATCGACGCCTCTCACAGGCGATGTCCATAGTAGACGGAGGGTTTCTTTGTGTTTGTCTGATTCCACTATTTGTTTCCCAATTTCACAATGTTGAGGTATTTTTGAACCTTGTTGGTTTTAATTTGTTATTTGGGAATGCAACAGGCTCATACAGACAAGTTGTAATTTTGTTTCTTTTCATCTTTTTTTTTTGAAAGAGCTGTTTCTTTTCATCTTCTTGAGTAGGTGCGATATATGATAAGTTTACATTTTAACTTGTGCAGGCTTATGAAAGGGTTTAATGATTGGGATAATTCCAGTTACCTCCAAGGTATGTAACTCCATTGATTTATGTTTATTCTCAAAATCACTGTGGTTATTGGAATTCTTCTTTTCACTTCAATTCCCTTGCTATAGGTTTTGGAACCATGCGTAGGCAGTCTAGCATATTAACCACCTAATTCTTGGATTACTTGCTGAAAATACATGCAATGCCAAATCTCAATTCTCAAGTTTTCAATTGAAGTATGTTTGAATCTATGTATGTGTAGCACATGTACAATTGTGATTTTTTACCTATTCTCATGTTGGTTTTCCCTTTTAGATATTCTTCAAGAATCTTGATTTGGACATGAAGACAGGGTTAGGAAAATTGAAGGAAACCCTTATTTCTGTTGCTTCACCTCAACAAAATACTGTAAATCAAGGTGAATTACCACATATATTATACCAGGTTAATTTTGTTGTCTATATACGTTTTTGTTTTTAGAGTATTCAAGCTATTTAACTCTCTATTGTTCCTTTAGTTGAAGATATGAATATGCTTTTATTTTTCTCTTTTTATTTGCTGAAAAACTTATTGATCCTTTACTTTTGCAGGGTGCTTCAGATGGTAGTGGATAAGGCAAGGGTATTAAAGATATATATGTTGTCCAGAAGAGTGTTTCAAACAACAATGGCACTTGTTTTGAAGGTGTCATTCACATTCTGTTAGTTCTTTTTTTTTTTAATCCTTCAAATTCTGATGAGAAGTATATCCATACTAGCTTGAAATATGTCTTATATTACTAGCAAGGTTCATTGTTAAACATTTTCTGTTTTGTTCATGTGTGATTGATTGTGTATTATTTTCATTTTTCAGATAAGAAACTCTCAATACCATGGTTTGAATAATGCAAGTGAATCCCTTGAACATGCCTTCATTGAGAAGCTGATGTTATGGGTGTTTTAGGAATGTCCAAAAGGTATTTATTTGCTTATAATTTTCTGATAAGTGCTAATATTTATGTTGATGTCGAAAAAGATTCGTTCACTTTTCTCATTTGAGTCTAAGCAAAAAGACGGATCTTCATCTTCATCTTCATCTTCTTCTTCTTCAACTGGTTTTACGAGTTTTTCAAATTTCAAAAACATATACATAACAGGACATAGCAGTGGTGGTATAAACTTCTGGGATGCATCATCTCCACTTTTGATTCCAATTGTATCATTTAATCAACAAAGTGAAGATGATCAGACTTTAAGTGGTGTTCCACTGACTGCATTGTGTTATGATATGGAAACATGCCTCCTCATATCTGGAGATCAAACTGGAACAGTGAGTATCTATATATCATATTGTAAAAATATGTTACATTTCAATTTAAAATTAATATTTTATGTCACAGGTTAGAATTTATAAATTTAAACCTGAGCCATATGCCATAGAGAGCAGTTTTTTGTCCTTACAAGCAAGTTCAAAGAAAGGAAGCAATATTGTTCAAAGTGTTAAACTTGTGAAGGTGAATGGAGCAGTGGTTTCAATAACTACAAGTCATGACTCTAAACATATTGCTGTGGGGTCAGATCAAGGATATGTAAGATATCATTTTTTTTCCTTTTTTGCCCTTTTTGTAACTAAATTAACGTAAATTAAAAAATGATGAAGGTTTCGGTGATTGACATTGGAGGAGCAACTGTGTTATATGAAAGGCGAATAGCGAGTGAGATCTCGACAGCTGTCATCTCTCTGCAATTTGGGATGTGTAGTTTGCATGGATTTGAGAAAAGTGTGTTAATGGCAGCAACAAAGGATTCATCAGCTTGGGCACTTGAATGTGAAACAGGAAATATTCTCAATAATGGATCAGTTCATCCTAAAAAACCTTCTAAAGCTCTTTTAATCCAAATGTTAGGTAGTAAATAAATCATACTTTTTTTTGTTGTATTGTTCTTTATTTATATGTTACAAATGATATATAGATGAGCAAGGGACAGCTGGCAGAGGATCTAATGCATCTAAGGGTATAATAGGAAATTCGTTTGATGATGGGGTAGTGAAGGAGTCATTGCTACTATGTTCTGAGAAAGCTGTTTACGTGTATTCACTTTCACATGCTGTTCAGGTTAGATTTTAGAACTTGAAGAATTAATTTTCTTGACATATTTTATATACTCTTGTATACTCAATTTTAAATATAAAAATATATATATATATATACAGGGAGTGAAGAAGGTTTGTTATAAAAAGAAGTTTAATTCCTCAATTTGTTGTTGGGCTTCAACATGTTGTTCTGATGCTGGCCTTGTTCTTGTTTTTACCAATGGGAAAATCGAAATTAGGGGAGTTAGATTTTGATTGAATAAAAAAGTCGATAAACACATGATTTTGATATTATTTACCTTTTTCAGATCCTTGCCTGAATTAACCCTTATGAAGGCAACATCCATAAGAGGCCTTGCACTTTCAACTTCAAAACCGAATTCTTTACCTGATAGTTCAATTTGTGCTTCACACAATGGTGATATTATCATGGTTTTAACTATTATATGATATGATATGATGCACAGGGGCAACAACATAATCTTTTATCTCTCTTGTTGAAGCACCGAAGATGAGTGTCTTATTGGAGGTGATGAAATACATAAACCAGTTTAGTTATCCAATCAGGTATTCCCACCACCCTCTTTTTCTATGTTCTGTACAAGTAATTGATTTCTCCCAAATCTATTTTTTTTTCAAATTTTCTTTTATCTGCTACTCTCAAGAGGAGATTTACGTTGTTCGTTTGGTTTAGTTTTGCTTTAATAATTGTTAATGGAATTGTCTATTTACATTTGTTTGTTTGTAAAGTATTTATCATTCTGGGCAATGTTTCTCCAACTGACAGGTGTTCGATATGAATTTGGAGCAGCGATATTTTGGAGTCAAATTGTACGTTTTCGTGGTGAATTTGCCCTACACTTTCTTATACCCACAGGCAAGCTTTTCAGGTAACTTATCTATGCGTTTCTGTCCTTTCTTTTTTGTCCTTCAAAGTAAACAAGTGGAGTAAAGGCTTGAAGAGTTTTCTTTTCAGCTACTGTTGCTTATTTTTTAAAAGTTAATATCGTTTATTACTATATAAACATTTTTTACATCAGCATTCTAACTCAATTGTACGTTTTCATTGTATATGAATATTATTTGTTATGTATCTGTGTAGATTTTCTTATACATGAGCATAACAAATTTTAGATAAACGATTTAACCAATATCTTAAATTTTACATAGCATGTGGTCTTTTACTTCTCTTTTCAGGTAAATTACCATCACACCAAGTTACAATTATGTTCAAATGCTGTAAAATCACCAAATTCAATATGAAATTTGATGATTTATATATATTTATGTAGAGGGTGGTGGAATTCAGTAGTTCAATGTGACAATGAAGTTGACCCTATGAAGAAGAGAAGCTGAATCTGAATCTTGGTGATTTTTTCATATTATATTTTTATTGTTGTAGCCATTGACCGATTTTAAAAGCATCTTTTTTTTTTTTTTTCAAAAGGTAACCAATTGGAGGTGGGTCTCACACAAGAGGTTTCACAGAGAAGGAGATTATGAGAAATAGACAGAGAAGAAGGAGCATAACTGTATCACCGCTTAATAACCCATGTTCAATACGATGACGGTAACCAAAACCCATGGTGATGAAATCCGAAACTTCAATTAGCATCTACGATTCCAAAACCTCAAAATAGATGAGATCATTTGTATCCCCCAACACTCTTGCAGCCTCTCTCTCTCTCTGTATCTCCATGTGGAACTTACTTTCAGAAACTATCATCACCACAAGAAAAAAAATGTCACATTTTGGAAGACAGAAACAGGAGAATCAGTTTAAACTATGTCCCAGAAGAACATGGTATAACAGTAGTTTTTGCTTATGGTTTGATAATTGTATAAGCTGCAAACATCTTTACTTGAACTTGACTTACATCTTCTTCAGGCCATCAATTAGATGTAGCTCTGATGAAACTGTTGCTTCTCGTATGGCTACAAATGAAATTCAATTCTTTGATTTTTCAAAAGGCATGGTGCATAAGATTAGAATTCCTGGAATAGCTGCAGTAGAGCTTTCTAAGCAACCTGGATCCCATGATGCTGTATTTGTTCCAGAATCTAAGGTTCGTCATTCTAATTCAATACTCACCTTGAATTCTTAGTAATCATTTTTTAAGAGCTTCCATTTCCACTTAATTGTTGATATAAGCTCATTTATCTTGATATATGCATGTACACAGGCTTCCCAAAGTGAACCCATTAGTACAAGAACTTTCTTCAGATGTTCAACAGCTTAACATTGGAACCATGGTTCTACAAGGCTTCTGGTTGTGGTTCAATCAGATGTTGATAAAACTAACCAGAGTAGAGTTACTATGGAAAGTCAAAGCTGTATTATTTGACTTTAGATGAAACTCATAATGGGCTTCTGCCCTTACGTAACTTTATCTTTCTTTATACACTGAATGTAAGTATGTAACATTTCATTTGATAATATTTTTTTTAATTATTAATTATTATAATTTTTGCAGGAAAAGAAGGACCTGTACATGATGTTCAATGGTCGTATTCAGGGAAAGAATTTGCAATTGTTTATGGATGTATCCTTTTTTATTTTAAATTACATATGAATTAAATCTAAGATAATATAGGTAATAGTTTAGGGTTAATCTAAAAAAGACCTTATATTTTGTAGTTTTGCCTGAAAAAGACCTTTTATTTTTTCATTTTTTCCGATCTGGCCCTGGTAGTTTTTTTTTTTCAAAATTTTTTAAAATGTGAGGGTTTATTTGGAAACATTTAGAAGGATGAGGGTTTTTTTTTCTGAAACAAAAAAAAAATTCAAAGTTGAGGACTTTTTTGGAAAAAATGGAAAAATACAAGGTCTTTTTCAGGTATTTCCCTATTGTTCCTTTGGTTGAAGATATGAATATGCTTTTATTTTTCTCTTTTCATTTGCTGAAAAACTTATTGATCCTTTACTTTTGCAGGGTGCTTCCAATGGTAGTGGATAAGGCAAGGGTATTAAAGAGATATATGTATATACTATAAATATTGTCGAGAAGAGTGTTTCAAGCAACAATGGCACTTGTTTTAAAGGTGTCATTCTCATTCAGTTAGTTTTTTTTTTTGAATCCTCCAAATTCTGATGAGAAGCATATCCATACTAGCTTCAAATCTGTCTTATATTACTAGCAAGGTTCATTGTTAAACATTTTCTGTTTTGTTCATGTGTGATTGATTGTGTATTATTTTCGTTTTTCAGATAAGAAACTCTCAATACCATGGTTTGAATAATGCAAGTGAATCCTTTGAACATGCCATACAACGTGTTATTGATGACAACCTTGAGTTGGGATGTGCATCAACTGAGAAGCTACTGTTATGGGTGTTTTATGAATGTCCAAAAGGTAGCTATTTATTTGCTTATAATCATATGATAAATGCTAATATTATTAGGCTTTTAAAAACAAAAGCTGTGAATATATTTATTTAACTGTACAAGTTTTTCCGTCTATAATCACAGCTTTGGTTTTAACTATAGTTAATGATATGATGCACAGGGGCAAGAACATAATCTTTTTATCTCTGTTGTTGAAGCACTGAAGATGAGTGATGCAAGAGTAATATTATTGTCTGCTCTTCACAATGTCATTCAGATTTTATCCAATTGCTACAATCCACCTGAGTCGCTTGTTGACCGGTTTAACTGGTAAGTTATTGGTGAGTGACATGGTGTCTAGTTGGTATGCATTTGATGACGTGTCAAATACATGCCATGCCATGCCATGTCACCTCACCAAAACTTACCGGTTGGTTAAACTGGGAATAGAGCAGTTGCCATGTCACCAAAACTTACCTTTATCTATGATTCTTGGATGGAACAGGTGACTAAGCATCCTGTTCTGTTCTGAACCTGTTTCCTAATAATTAATTATTCTCATCTTATTTCTTCATTTTTAACTCCTTAATTTATATAAATTTCATTCTTGTAAAACCAGGTGTCTATGCCATTTAACGACCGGTTTTTCCCCTTTTCCCAGTGGAATTGGACAGAGGGTTTCTTCTTGCCTGTTTGATTCCACCATTTGTTTCCTGATTTCAGAATCTTGAGGTCTTATTAAATCCTTTTGGTTTTAATCTATTAACCAATATACTAGAGGCAGGAAGTTCCTTTGTTGCATTAAACTTACACTTTTATTGGGTTTGACCTGTTTTTTTTTTAATTTATTAGATTAGGGATTCTGTTATGGAATACTATAATTGCTAGCCTGCTGCTTCCCTCTTCTTTTCCCTTCTTGAAACAACGCTTCACTTAACTTCTCCTCTTCCGCCTTTTTTTTTCTTGAAATCGAAGCCTCACACCCCAAATATCAACTTATAAGCTCCAACCCCATTGAAGAGAAGACTTGAAATATTCTTTGGTTTGATCTCAGCTAATCAAACGTTCAGAATCTTGAAGCAAAGCAAAGAAATAACGAGTGATTTTCATCCCCTTTTTTCTTCGACATCTCTGCTTTCACCCAAATCGACGCCTCTCACAGGCGATGTCCATAGTAGACGGAGGGTTTCTTTGTGTTTGTCTGATTCCACTATTTGTTTCCCAATTTCACAATGTTGAGGTATTTTTGAACCTTGTTGGTTTTAATTTGTTATTTGGGAATGCAACAGGCTCATACAGACAAGTTGTAATTTTGTTTCTTTTCATCTTTTTTTTTTGAAAGAGCTGTTTCTTTTCATCTTCTTGAGTAGGTGCGATATATGATAAGTTTACATTTTAACTTGTGCAGGCTTATGAAAGGGTTTAATGATTGGGATAATTCCAGTTACCTCCAAGGTATGTAACTCCATTGATTTATGTTTATTCTCAAAATCACTGTGGTTATTGGAATTCTTCTTTTCACTTCAATTCCCTTGCTATAGGTTTTGGAACCATGCGTAGGCAGTCTAGCATATTAACCACCTAATTCTTGGATTACTTGCTGAAAATACATGCAATGCCAAATCTCAATTCTCAAGTTTTCAATTGAAGTATGTTTGAATCTATGTATGTGTAGCACATGTACAATTGTGATTTTTTACCTATTCTCATGTTGGTTTTCCCTTTTAGATATTCTTCAAGAATCTTGATTTGGACATGAAGACAGGGTTAGGAAAATTGAAGGAAACCCTTATTTCTGTTGCTTCACCTCAACAAAATACTGTAAATCAAGGTGAATTACCACATATATTATACCAGGTTAATTTTGTTGTCTATATACGTTTTTGTTTTTAGAGTATTCAAGCTATTTAACTCTCTATTGTTCCTTTAGTTGAAGATATGAATATGCTTTTATTTTTCTCTTTTTATTTGCTGAAAAACTTATTGATCCTTTACTTTTGCAGGGTGCTTCAGATGGTAGTGGATAAGGCAAGGGTATTAAAGATATATATGTTGTCCAGAAGAGTGTTTCAAACAACAATGGCACTTGTTTTGAAGGTGTCATTCACATTCTGTTAGTTCTTTTTTTTTTTAATCCTTCAAATTCTGATGAGAAGTATATCCATACTAGCTTGAAATATGTCTTATATTACTAGCAAGGTTCATTGTTAAACATTTTCTGTTTTGTTCATGTGTGATTGATTGTGTATTATTTTCATTTTTCAGATAAGAAACTCTCAATACCATGGTTTGAATAATGCAAGTGAATCCCTTGAACATGCCTTCATTGAGAAGCTGATGTTATGGGTGTTTTAGGAATGTCCAAAAGGTATTTATTTGCTTATAATTTTCTGATAAGTGCTAATATTTATGTTGATGTCGAAAAAGATTCGTTCACTTTTCTCATTTGAGTCTAAGCAAAAAGACGGATCTTCATCTTCATCTTCATCTTCTTCTTCTTCAACTGGTTTTACGAGTTTTTCAAATTTCAAAAACATATACATAACAGGACATAGCAGTGGTGGTATAAACTTCTGGGATGCATCATCTCCACTTTTGATTCCAATTGTATCATTTAATCAACAAAGTGAAGATGATCAGACTTTAAGTGGTGTTCCACTGACTGCATTGTGTTATGATATGGAAACATGCCTCCTCATATCTGGAGATCAAACTGGAACAGTGAGTATCTATATATCATATTGTAAAAATATGTTACATTTCAATTTAAAATTAATATTTTATGTCACAGGTTAGAATTTATAAATTTAAACCTGAGCCATATGCCATAGAGAGCAGTTTTTTGTCCTTACAAGCAAGTTCAAAGAAAGGAAGCAATATTGTTCAAAGTGTTAAACTTGTGAAGGTGAATGGAGCAGTGGTTTCAATAACTACAAGTCATGACTCTAAACATATTGCTGTGGGGTCAGATCAAGGATATGTAAGATATCATTTTTTTTCCTTTTTTGCCCTTTTTGTAACTAAATTAACGTAAATTAAAAAATGATGAAGGTTTCGGTGATTGACATTGGAGGAGCAACTGTGTTATATGAAAGGCGAATAGCGAGTGAGATCTCGACAGCTGTCATCTCTCTGCAATTTGGGATGTGTAGTTTGCATGGATTTGAGAAAAGTGTGTTAATGGCAGCAACAAAGGATTCATCAGCTTGGGCACTTGAATGTGAAACAGGAAATATTCTCAATAATGGATCAGTTCATCCTAAAAAACCTTCTAAAGCTCTTTTAATCCAAATGTTAGGTAGTAAATAAATCATACTTTTTTTTGTTGTATTGTTCTTTATTTATATGTTACAAATGATATATAGATGAGCAAGGGACAGCTGGCAGAGGATCTAATGCATCTAAGGGTATAATAGGAAATTCGTTTGATGATGGGGTAGTGAAGGAGTCATTGCTACTATGTTCTGAGAAAGCTGTTTACGTGTATTCACTTTCACATGCTGTTCAGGTTAGATTTTAGAACTTGAAGAATTAATTTTCTTGACATATTTTATATACTCTTGTATACTCAATTTTAAATATAAAATATATATATATATATATATATATATATATATATATATATATACAGGGAGTGAAGAAGGTTTGTTATAAAAAGAAGTTTAATTCCTCAATTTGTTGTTGGGCTTCAACATGTTGTTCTGATGCTGGCCTTGTTCTTGTTTTTACCAATGGGAAAATCGAAATTAGGGGAGTTAGATTTTGATTGAATAAAAAAGTCGATAAACACATGATTTTGATATTATTTACCTTTTTCAGATCCTTGCCTGAATTAACCCTTATGAAGGCAACATCCATAAGAGGCCTTGCACTTTCAACTTCAAAACCGAATTCTTTACCTGATAGTTCAATTTGTGCTTCACACAATGGTGATATTATCATGGTTTTAACTATTATATGATATGATATGATGCACAGGGGCAACAACATAATCTTTTATCTCTCTTGTTGAAGCACCGAAGATGAGTGTCTTATTGGAGGTGATGAAATACATAAACCAGTTTAGTTATCCAATCAGGTATTCCCACCACCCTCTTTTTCTATGTTCTGTACAAGTAATTGATTTCTCCCAAATCTATTTTTTTTTTCAAATTTTCTTTTATCTGCTACTCTCAAGAGGAGATTTACGTTGTTCGTTTGGTTTAGTTTTGCTTTAATAATTGTTAATGGAATTGTCTATTTACATTTGTTTGTTTGTAAAGTATTTATCATTCTGGGCAATGTTTCTCCAACTGACAGGTGTTCGATATGAATTTGGAGCAGCGATATTTTGGAGTCAAATTGTACGTTTTCGTGGTGAATTTGCCCTACACTTTCTTATACCCACAGGCAAGCTTTTCAGGTAACTTATCTATGCGTTTCTGTCCTTTCTTTTTTGTCCTTCAAAGTAAACAAGTGGAGTAAAGGCTTGAAGAGTTTTCTTTTCAGCTACTGTTGCTTATTTTTTAAAAGTTAATATCGTTTATTACTATATAAACATTTTTTACATCAGCATTCTAACTCAATTGTACGTTTTCATTGTATATGAATATTATTTGTTATGTATCTGTGTAGATTTTCTTATACATGAGCATAACAAATTTTAGATAAACGATTTAACCAATATCTTAAATTTTACATAGCATGTGGTCTTTTACTTCTCTTTTCAGGTAAATTACCATCACACCAAGTTACAATTATGTTCAAATGCTGTAAAATCACCAAATTCAATATGAAATTTGATGATTTATATATATTTATGTAGAGGGTGGTGGAATTCAGTAGTTCAATGTGACAATGAAGTTGACCCTATGAAGAAGAGAAGCTGAATCTGAATCTTGGTGATTTTTTCATATTATATTTTTATTGTTGTAGCCATTGACCGATTTTAAAAGCATCTTTTTTTTTGTTTTTCAAAAGGTAACCAATTGGAGGTGGGTCTCACACAAGAGGTTTCACAGAGAAGGAGATTATGAGAAATAGACAGAGAAGAAGGAGCATAACTGTATCACCGCTTAATAACCCATGTTCAATACGATGACGGTAACCAAAACCCATGGTGATGAAATCCGAAACTTCAATTAGCATCTACGATTCCAAAACCTCAAAATAGATGAGATCATTTGTATCCCCCAACACTCTTGCTGCCTCTCTCTCTCTCTGTATCTCCATGTGGAACTTACTTTCAGAAACTATCATCACCACAAGAAAAAAAAAACGTCACATTTTGGAAGACAGAAACAGGAGAATCAGTTTAAACTATGTCCCAGAAGAACATGGTATAACAGTAGTTTTTGCTTATGGTTTGATAATTGTATAAGCTGCAAACATCTTTACTTGAACTTGACTTACATCTTCTTCAGGCCATCAATTAGATGTAGCTCTGATGAAACTGTTGCTTCTCGTATGGCTACAAATGAAATTCAATTCTTTGATTTTTCAAAAGGCATGGTGCATAAGATTAGAATTCCTGGAATAGCTGCAGTAGAGCTTTCTAAGCAACCTGGATCCCATGATGCTGTATTTGTTCCAGAATCTAAGGTTCGTCATTCTAATTCAATACTCACCTTGAATTCTTAGTAATCATTTTTTAAGAGCTTCCATTTCCACTTAATTGTTGATATAAGCTCATTTATCTTGATATATGCATGTACACAGGCTTCCCAAAGTGAACCCATTAGTACAAGAACTTTCTTCAGATGTTCAACAGCTTAACATTGGAACCATGGTTCTACAAGGCTTCTGGTTGTGGTTCAATCAGATGTTGATAAAACTAACCAGAGTAGAGTTACTATGGAAAGTCAAAGCTGTATTATTTGACTTTAGATGAAACTCATAATGGGCTTCTGCCCTTACGTAACTTTATCTTTCTTTATACACTGAATGTAAGTATGTAACATTTCATTTGATAATATTTTTTTTAATTATTAATTATTATAATTTTTGCAGGAAAAGAAGGACCTGTACATGATGTTCAATGGTCGTATTCAGGGAAAGAATTTGCAATTGTTTATGGATGTATCCTTTTTTATTTTAAATTACATATGAATTAAATCTAAGATAATATAGGTAATAGTTTAGGGTTAATCTAAAAAAGACCTTATATTTTGTAGTTTTGCCTGAAAAAGACCTTTTATTTTTTCATTTTTTCCGATCTGGCCCTGGTAGTTTTTTTTTTTCAAAAATTTTTTAAAATGTGAGGGTTTATTTGGAAACATTTAGAAGGATGAGGGTTTTTTTTTTCTGAAACAAAAAAAAAATTCAAAGTTGAGGACTTTTTTGGAAAAAATGGAAAAATACAAGGTCTTTTTCAGGTATTTCCCTATTGTTCCTTTGGTTGAAGATATGAATATGCTTTTATTTTTCTCTTTTCATTTGCTGAAAAACTTATTGATCCTTTACTTTTGCAGGGTGCTTCCAATGGTAGTGGATAAGGCAAGGGTATTAAAGAGATATATGTATATACTATAAATATTGTCGAGAAGAGTGTTTCAAGCAACAATGGCACTTGTTTTAAAGGTGTCATTCTCATTCAGTTAGTTTTTTTTTTGAATCCTCCAAATTCTGATGAGAAGCATATCCATACTAGCTTCAAATCTGTCTTATATTACTAGCAAGGTTCATTGTTAAACATTTTCTGTTTTGTTCATGTGTGATTGATTGTGTATTATTTTCGTTTTTCAGATAAGAAACTCTCAATACCATGGTTTGAATAATGCAAGTGAATCCTTTGAACATGCCATACAACGTGTTATTGATGACAACCTTGAGTTGGGATGTGCATCAACTGAGAAGCTACTGTTATGGGTGTTTTATGAATGTCCAAAAGGTAGCTATTTATTTGCTTATAATCATATGATAAATGCTAATATTATTAGGCTTTTAAAAACAAAAGCTGTGAATATATTTATTTAACTGTACAAGTTTTTCCGTCTATAATCACAGCTTTGGTTTTAACTATAGTTAATGATATGATGCACAGGGGCAAGAACATAATCTTTTTATCTCTGTTGTTGAAGCACTGAAGATGAGTGATGCAAGAGTAATATTATTGTCTGCTCTTCACAATGTCATTCAGATTTTATCCAATTGCTACAATCCACCTGAGTCGCTTGTTGACCGGTTTAACTGGTAAGTTATTGGTGAGTGACATGGTGTCTAGTTGGTATGCATTTGATGACGTGTCAAATACATGCCATGCCATGTCACCTCACCAAAACTTACCGGTTGATTAAACTGGGAATAGAGCATTTTTTCAGTGGAACCAAAACTCAATGATTAATTATTCTCATTTTATTTCTTCATTTTTAACTTTTTAATTTATCAATCTAACCATCATTAATTTCATTCTTGTAAAACCAGGTGTCTGCTATTTAATGACTGGTTTTCCACTTTTCACAGCGGAAGTGGACAGAGGGTTTCTCTTTGCCAGTTTTCTTCCACCATTTGTTTCCCAATTTCAGAATCTTGAGGTATTTTTGAATCCTTTTGGTTTTAATCTATTAACCAAATTACTAGAAGCAGGAAGTTCCTTTGTTGCATTAAACTTACACTTTTATTGGGTTTGACCTAATTTTTTTTATTAGATTAGGAATTCTGTTATGGAATACTATAATTGTAGGTTGTTTGTTCCTTTTTAATTTTCATGAACACAAACTAATGTTTTACTCTTTTTACAGGATGTTGTCACCTGAAACCATGGTGGGCCCCTTCAAACCCCAACCTCATCCGGGAACCAACATCTCCAAAGGTTAATTTCTTGAAACCAATTACATCAATATTTATCCAAATATATAGAAAGCAATTGATTAAATTACATGAATGGTCCCTGTGGTTTAGGGTAATTTGCGCGTTTGGTCCTTAACTTTTTTTTTTTAACTCGGAAGGTCGCTACTGTTTGTTTTTGTTACATGCTTGGTCCCTGTCTTACCTTAAAAAACTATTTTTCCCTTGATTTTTTAAAAATATTTAAATAAACACACCCCAACCCCCCTCACCTTACCTTACCTATCCGACTATTTTTTTCTATTCAAATAATAGTCTTTTTAAGTAAGACAAGGACCAATAGCGTAATAAAAACAAACAGTAGGGACTTTCCGAGTTAAAAAAATAAGTTAGGGACCAAGCGTGCAAATTACCCCAAACCATAGGGACCATTCGTGTAGTTTACTCAAAGCAATTTTGATAAGACTTGTTAGTTTTATATTCAAGAAAAAAGATTGCACTATTGCGTTGTGTTTTCAGTTTTTCCTTTATTAAAGTTATGCTTCCAGAACTCTTATTTCTTACAACATTTTAATTTAGAAAAGTTTACCCATTACATTATTGATTATGTATGGCTTTTGACTTATGTTTTCTGGTATGTGTTTGTAGGAGCTGTCATCACATGTTATTTGAAAGATGAGAGAAGAAATTTTCTTTTACCAAATAATATTCATATTAAGTCCAAGGTATGTCATTTCCTGATGCTGTTATTTTTTTTCAATTTCAATTTTCTCATTGACATTCTAAGATGCAATTGTGTGATACTCCAGAAATAGGAAAGTACTTTCATTTCATACTCCAGGTATGTTCCACCACTAAACCAGTCTATATTTTGTTGTGTCATAAATTCAGTAAGATAATTGAAACATCAAACTTTCCATTTCTCATCTTCGCATTTTACTTTAAAAAAACTTTCAATCAATGCATTTTATTTTTGAAAGCTTCCATTTTACATTCGATTTTCAAAAATCATTCCATTCTTCTCATGTATGCATTTTACTTTGAAAAAACTTACGATTAAAGCATTCTACTTTCAAAAACATGTATTTTACATTCAATTTTCATAAATCATCTCCATTTTTAGCATTGCACTTTAACTTTTTCTTTATATAACATCTTTGAAACATGAAACTTTTTATTTCTCATGTATTCATTTTAATTTCAAAAGACATCCATTTTACTTTGAAAGAAACTTACAACTAAAGCATTCTACATTCAAAACCTTCAATTTCACATTCAGTTTTTTAAAATCATCCAATTTTTAACATTGCACTTTAAAATTTTCTTTATGTAACATCCTTGAAACATCAAACTTCTCTTTTTCTCATCTATGCATTTTACTTTGAAAACATCCTATGAAAGCTTTTTGTTTTCAAAAACTTCCTAACATTTGATTTTCAAAAAACATCCGGTCTTTAGCATTGCACTTTAACCTTTTCTCATGTATTCATTTCACTTTCAAAAGAACTTACAATTAAAGCATTGTATTTTCTAAAACTTCCAGTTTACATTCAATTTTTCTAAAATCATCTCATATGAACATTACACATTAACTTTTTCTTTATGTAACATCAAACTTCTCATTTTTTCATGTATGCATTTTACTTTGAAAAAACTTTCAACCAAAGCATTCTATTTTCAAAAACTTCTGTTTTACATTCGATTTTCAAAAATATCCGATTTTTAGCATTTTACTTCAACTTTTTTCTTTATGTAACATCATTGAAACGTCAAACTTTCTTTTTCTCATCTATACATTTTACTTTGAAAAAACTTCCAATTAAAGAATTTTATCTGCAAAAACTTCCATTTTACATTCAATTTTCAAACATATCCCATTTTTAGAAGTGTACTTTACATTTTTCTTTCATTAACATCTTTGAAACATCAAACATCTTTTTTATTTCTTTCTCATCTATGAATTTTACTTTGAATAAACTTACAATTAAGGCATTATACTCTCAAAAACTTCCATTTTACAATGAAATTTTAAAAATCATCACAAATTTAACATTATACTTTACCTTTTTCTCTGTATAACTTCATTGAAACATCAAACGTCTGTTTTTCTTATTTATGCATTTAACATTGAAAAAACTTCCAATTAAAGCATTTTACATTCAAATACTTCCATTTTACAATCAATTTTCAAAAATCATCCCATTTTTAGGACTATATTTTAACTTTCCTTTTTGTAACATTTTTGACACATCAAACATCTTTTTTTTTCTTATCTACGCAATTTACTTTGAGCCCATTAGTACAAGAACTTTCTTCAGATGTTCAACAGCTCAACATTGGAACCATGGTTCTACAAGGCTTCTGGTTGTGGTTCAATCAGATGTTGATAAAACTAACCAGAGTAGAGTTACTATGGAAAGTCAAAGCTGTATTATTTGACTTTAGATGAAACTCATAATGGGCTTCTGCCCTTACGTAACTTTATCTTTCTTTATACACTGAATGTAAGTATGTAACATTTCATTTGATAATATTTTTTTTAATTATTAATTATTATAATTTTTGCAGGAAAAGAAGGACCTGTACATGATGTTCAATGGTCGTATTCAGGGAAAGAATTTGCAATTGTTTATGGATGTATCCTTTTTTATTTTAAATTACATATGAATTAAATCTAAGATAATATAGGTAATAGTTTAGGGTTAATCTAAAAAAGACCTTATATTTTGTAGTTTTGCCTGAAAAAGACCTTTTATTTTTTCATTTTTTCCGATCTGGCCCTGGTAGTTTTTTTTTTCAAAAATTTTTTAAAATGTGAGGGTTTATTTGGAAACATTTAGAAGGATGAGGGTTTTTTTTTTCTGAAACAAAAAAAAAAATTCAAAGTTGAGGACTTTTTTGGAAAAAATGGAAAAATACAAGGTCTTTTTCAGGTATTTCCCTATTGTTCCTTTGGTTGAAGATATGAATATGCTTTTATTTTTCTCTTTTCATTTGCTGAAAAACTTATTGATCCTTTACTTTTGCAGGGTGCTTCCAATGGTAGTGGATAAGGCAAGGGTATTAAAGAGATATATGTATATACTATAAATATTGTCGAGAAGAGTGTTTCAAGCAACAATGGCACTTGTTTTAAAGGTGTCATTCTCATTCAGTTAGTTTTTTTTTTGAATCCTCCAAATTCTGATGAGAAGCATATCCATACTAGCTTCAAATCTGTCTTATATTACTAGCAAGGTTCATTGTTAAACATTTTCTGTTTTGTTCATGTGTGATTGATTGTGTATTATTTTCGTTTTTCAGATAAGAAACTCTCAATACCATGGTTTGAATAATGCAAGTGAATCCTTTGAACATGCCATACAACGTGTTATTGATGACAACCTTGAGTTGGGATGTGCATCAACTGAGAAGCTACTGTTATGGGTGTTTTATGAATGTCCAAAAGGTAGCTATTTATTTGCTTATAATCATATGATAAATGCTAATATTATTAGGCTTTTAAAAACAAAAGCTGTGAATATATTTATTTAACTGTACAAGTTTTTCCGTCTATAATCACAGCTTTGGTTTTAACTATAGTTAATGATATGATGCACAGGGGCAAGAACATAATCTTTTTATCTCTGTTGTTGAAGCACTGAAGATGAGTGATGCAAGAGTAATATTATTGTCTGCTCTTCACAATGTCATTCAGATTTTATCCAATTGCTACAATCCACCTGAGTCGCTTGTTGACCGGTTTAACTGGTAAGTTATTGGTGAGTGACATGGTGTCTAGTTGGTATGCATTTGATGACGTGTCAAATACATGCCATGCCATGTCACCTCACCAAAACTTACCGGTTGATTAAACTGGGAATAGAGCATTTTTTCAGTGGAACCAAAACTCAATGATTAATTATTCTCATTTTATTTCTTCATTTTTAACTTTTTAATTTATCAATCTAACCATCATTAATTTCATTCTTGTAAAACCAGGTGTCTGCTATTTAATGACTGGTTTTCCACTTTTCACAGCGGAAGTGGACAGAGGGTTTCTCTTTGCCAGTTTTCTTCCACCATTTGTTTCCCAATTTCAGAATCTTGAGGTATTTTTGAATCCTTTTGGTTTTAATCTATTAACCAAATTACTAGAAGCAGGAAGTTCCTTTGTTGCATTAAACTTACACTTTTATTGGGTTTGACCTAATTTTTTTTATTAGATTAGGAATTCTGTTATGGAATACTATAATTGTAGGTTGTTTGTTCCTTTTTAATTTTCATGAACACAAACTAATGTTTTACTCTTTTTACAGGATGTTGTCACCTGAAACCATGGTGGGCCCCTTCAAACCCCAACCTCATCCGGGAACCAACATCTCCAAAGGTTAATTTCTTGAAACCAATTACATCAATATTTATCCAAATATATAGAAAGCAATTGATTAAATTACATGAATGGTCCCTGTGGTTTAGGGTAATTTGCGCGTTTGGTCCTTAACTTTTTTTTTTTAACTCGGAAGGTCGCTACTGTTTGTTTTTGTTACATGCTTGGTCCCTGTCTTACCTTAAAAAACTATTTTTCCCTTGATTTTTTAAAAATATTTAAATAAACACACCCCAACCCCCCTCACCTTACCTTACCTATCCGACTATTTTTTTCTATTCAAATAATAGTCTTTTTAAGTAAGACAAGGACCAATAGCGTAATAAAAACAAACAGTAGGGACTTTCCGAGTTAAAAAAATAAGTTAGGGACCAAGCGTGCAAATTACCCCAAACCATAGGGACCATTCGTGTAGTTTACTCAAAGCAATTTTGATAAGACTTGTTAGTTTTATATTCAAGAAAAAAGATTGCACTATTGCGTTGTGTTTTCAGTTTTTCCTTTATTAAAGTTATGCTTCCAGAACTCTTATTTCTTACAACATTTTAATTTAGAAAAGTTTACCCATTACATTATTGATTATGTATGGCTTTTGACTTATGTTTTCTGGTATGTGTTTGTAGGAGCTGTCATCACATGTTATTTGAAAGATGAGAGAAGAAATTTTCTTTTACCAAATAATATTCATATTAAGTCCAAGGTATGTCATTTCCTGATGCTGTTATTTTTTTTCAATTTCAATTTTCTCATTGACATTCTAAGATGCAATTGTGTGATACTCCAGAAATAGGAAAGTACTTTCATTTCATACTCCAGGTATGTTCCACCACTAAACCAGTCTATATTTTGTTGTGTCATAAATTCAGTAAGATAATTGAAACATCAAACTTTCCATTTCTCATCTTCGCATTTTACTTTAAAAAAACTTTCAATCAATGCATTTTATTTTTGAAAGCTTCCATTTTACATTCGATTTTCAAAAATCATTCCATTCTTCTCATGTATGCATTTTACTTTGAAAAAACTTACGATTAAAGCATTCTACTTTCAAAAACATGTATTTTACATTCAATTTTCATAAATCATCTCCATTTTTAGCATTGCACTTTAACTTTTTCTTTATATAACATCTTTGAAACATGAAACTTTTTATTTCTCATGTATTCATTTTAATTTCAAAAGACATCCATTTTACTTTGAAAGAAACTTACAACTAAAGCATTCTACATTCAAAACCTTCAATTTCACATTCAGTTTTTTAAAATCATCCAATTTTTAACATTGCACTTTAAAATTTTCTTTATGTAACATCCTTGAAACATCAAACTTCTCTTTTTCTCATCTATGCATTTTACTTTGAAAACATCCTATGAAAGCTTTTTGTTTTCAAAAACTTCCTAACATTTGATTTTCAAAAAACATCCGGTCTTTAGCATTGCACTTTAACCTTTTCTCATGTATTCATTTCACTTTCAAAAGAACTTACAATTAAAGCATTGTATTTTCTAAAACTTCCAGTTTACATTCAATTTTTCTAAAATCATCTCATATGAACATTACACATTAACTTTTTCTTTATGTAACATCAAACTTCTCATTTTTTCATGTATGCATTTTACTTTGAAAAAACTTTCAACCAAAGCATTCTATTTTCAAAAACTTCTGTTTTACATTCGATTTTCAAAAATATCCGATTTTTAGCATTTTACTTCAACTTTTTTCTTTATGTAACATCATTGAAACGTCAAACTTTCTTTTTCTCATCTATACATTTTACTTTGAAAAAACTTCCAATTAAAGAATTTTATCTGCAAAAACTTCCATTTTACATTCAATTTTCAAACATATCCCATTTTTAGAAGTGTACTTTACATTTTTCTTTCATTAACATCTTTGAAACATCAAACATCTTTTTTATTTCTTTCTCATCTATGAATTTTACTTTGAATAAACTTACAATTAAGGCATTATACTCTCAAAAACTTCCATTTTACAATGAAATTTTAAAAATCATCACAAATTTAACATTATACTTTACCTTTTTCTCTGTATAACTTCATTGAAACATCAAACGTCTGTTTTTCTTATTTATGCATTTAACATTGAAAAAACTTCCAATTAAAGCATTTTACATTCAAATACTTCCATTTTACAATCAATTTTCAAAAATCATCCCATTTTTAGGACTATATTTTAACTTTCCTTTTTGTAACATTTTTGACACATCAAACATCTTTTTTTTCTTATCTACGCAATTTACTTTGAGCCCATTAGTACAAGAACTTTCTTCAGATGTTCAACAGCTCAACATTGGAACCATGGTTCTACAAGGCTTCTGGTTGTGGTTCAATCAGATGTTGATAAAACTAACCAGAGTAGAGTTACTATGGAAAGTCAAAGCTGTATTATTTGACTTTAGATGAAACTCATAATGGGCTTCTGCCCTTACGTAACTTTATCTTTCTTTATACACTGAATGTAAGTATGTAACATTTCATTTGATAATATTTTTTTTAATTATTAATTATTATAATTTTTGCAGGAAAAGAAGGACCTGTACATGATGTTCAATGGTCGTATTCAGGGAAAGAATTTGCAATTGTTTATGGATGTATCCTTTTTTATTTTAAATTACATATGAATTAAATCTAAGATAATATAGGTAATAGTTTAGGGTTAATCTAAAAAAGACCTTATATTTTGTAGTTTTGCCTGAAAAAGACCTTTTATTTTTTCATTTTTTCCGATCTGGCCCTGGTAGTTTTTTTTTTTCAAAAATTTTTTAAAATGTGAGGGTTTATTTGGAAACATTTAGAAGGATGAGGGTTTTTTTTTCTGAAACAAAAAAAAAATTCAAAGTTGAGGACTTTTTTGGAAAAAATGGAAAAATACAAGGTCTTTTTCAGGTATTTCCCTATTGTTCCTTTGGTTGAAGATATGAATATGCTTTTATTTTTCTCTTTTCATTTGCTGAAAAACTTATTGATCCTTTACTTTTGCAGGGTGCTTCCAATGGTAGTGGATAAGGCAAGGGTATTAAAGAGATATATGTATATACTATAAATATTGTCGAGAAGAGTGTTTCAAGCAACAATGGCACTTGTTTTAAAGGTGTCATTCTCATTCAGTTAGTTTTTTTTTTGAATCCTCCAAATTCTGATGAGAAGCATATCCATACTAGCTTCAAATCTGTCTTATATTACTAGCAAGGTTCATTGTTAAACATTTTCTGTTTTGTTCATGTGTGATTGATTGTGTATTATTTTCGTTTTTCAGATAAGAAACTCTCAATACCATGGTTTGAATAATGCAAGTGAATCCTTTGAACATGCCATACAACGTGTTATTGATGACAACCTTGAGTTGGGATGTGCATCAACTGAGAAGCTACTGTTATGGGTGTTTTATGAATGTCCAAAAGGTAGCTATTTATTTGCTTATAATCATATGATAAATGCTAATATTATTAGGCTTTTAAAAACAAAAGCTGTGAATATATTTATTTAACTGTACAAGTTTTTCCGTCTATAATCACAGCTTTGGTTTTAACTATAGTTAATGATATGATGCACAGGGGCAAGAACATAATCTTTTTATCTCTGTTGTTGAAGCACTGAAGATGAGTGATGCAAGAGTAATATTATTGTCTGCTCTTCACAATGTCATTCAGATTTTATCCAATTGCTACAATCCACCTGAGTCGCTTGTTGACCGGTTTAACTGGTAAGTTATTGGTGAGTGACATGGTGTCTAGTTGGTATGCATTTGATGACGTGTCAAATACATGCCATGCCATGCCATGTCACCTCACCAAAACTTACCGGTTGGTTAAACTGGGAATAGAGCAGTTGCCATGTCACCAAAACTTACCTTTATCTATGATTCTTGGATGGAACAGGTGACTAAGCATCCTGTTCTGTTCTGAACCTGTTTCCTAATAATTAATTATTCTCATCTTATTTCTTCATTTTTAACTCCTTAATTTATATAAATTTCATTCTTGTAAAACCAGGTGTCTATGCCATTTAACGACCGGTTTTTCCCCTTTTCCCAGTGGAATTGGACAGAGGGTTTCTTCTTGCCTGTTTGATTCCACCATTTGTTTCCTGATTTCAGAATCTTGAGGTCTTATTAAATCCTTTTGGTTTTAATCTATTAACCAATATACTAGAGGCAGGAAGTTCCTTTGTTGCATTAAACTTACACTTTTATTGGGTTTGACCTGTTTTTTTTTTTTAATTTATTAGATTAGGGATTCTGTTATGGAATACTATAATTGCTAGCCTGCTGCTTCCCTCTTCTTTTCCCTTCTTGAAACAACGCTTCACTTAACTTCTCCTCTTCCGCCTTTTTTTTTCTTGAAATCGAAGCCTCACACCCCAAATATCAACTTATAAGCTCCAACCCCATTGAAGAGAAGACTTGAAATATTCTTTGGTTTGATCTCAGCTAATCAAACGTTCAGAATCTTGAAGCAAAGCAAAGAAATAACGAGTGATTTTCATCCCCTTTTTTCTTCGACATCTCTGCTTTCACCCAAATCGACGCCTCTCACAGGCGATGTCCATAGTAGACGGAGGGTTTCTTTGTGTTTGTCTGATTCCACTATTTGTTTCCCAATTTCACAATGTTGAGGTATTTTTGAACCTTGTTGGTTTTAATTTGTTATTTGGGAATGCAACAGGCTCATACAGACAAGTTGTAATTTTGTTTCTTTTCATCTTTTTTTTTTGAAAGAGCTGTTTCTTTTCATCTTCTTGAGTAGGTGCGATATATGATAAGTTTACATTTTAACTTGTGCAGGCTTATGAAAGGGTTTAATGATTGGGATAATTCCAGTTACCTCCAAGGTATGTAACTCCATTGATTTATGTTTATTCTCAAAATCACTGTGGTTATTGGAATTCTTCTTTTCACTTCAATTCCCTTGCTATAGGTTTTGGAACCATGCGTAGGCAGTCTAGCATATTAACCACCTAATTCTTGGATTACTTGCTGAAAATACATGCAATGCCAAATCTCAATTCTCAAGTTTTCAATTGAAGTATGTTTGAATCTATGTATGTGTAGCACATGTACAATTGTGATTTTTTACCTATTCTCATGTTGGTTTTCCCTTTTAGATATTCTTCAAGAATCTTGATTTGGACATGAAGACAGGGTTAGGAAAATTGAAGGAAACCCTTATTTCTGTTGCTTCACCTCAACAAAATACTGTAAATCAAGGTGAATTACCACATATATTATACCAGGTTAATTTTGTTGTCTATATACGTTTTTGTTTTTAGAGTATTCAAGCTATTTAACTCTCTATTGTTCCTTTAGTTGAAGATATGAATATGCTTTTATTTTTCTCTTTTTATTTGCTGAAAAACTTATTGATCCTTTACTTTTGCAGGGTGCTTCAGATGGTAGTGGATAAGGCAAGGGTATTAAAGATATATATGTTGTCCAGAAGAGTGTTTCAAACAACAATGGCACTTGTTTTGAAGGTGTCATTCACATTCTGTTAGTTCTTTTTTTTTTAATCCTTCAAATTCTGATGAGAAGTATATCCATACTAGCTTGAAATATGTCTTATATTACTAGCAAGGTTCATTGTTAAACATTTTCTGTTTTGTTCATGTGTGATTGATTGTGTATTATTTTCATTTTTCAGATAAGAAACTCTCAATACCATGGTTTGAATAATGCAAGTGAATCCCTTGAACATGCCTTCATTGAGAAGCTGATGTTATGGGTGTTTTAGGAATGTCCAAAAGGTATTTATTTGCTTATAATTTTCTGATAAGTGCTAATATTTATGTTGATGTCGAAAAAGATTCGTTCACTTTTCTCATTTGAGTCTAAGCAAAAAGACGGATCTTCATCTTCATCTTCATCTTCTTCTTCTTCAACTGGTTTTACGAGTTTTTCAAATTTCAAAAACATATACATAACAGGACATAGCAGTGGTGGTATAAACTTCTGGGATGCATCATCTCCACTTTTGATTCCAATTGTATCATTTAATCAACAAAGTGAAGATGATCAGACTTTAAGTGGTGTTCCACTGACTGCATTGTGTTATGATATGGAAACATGCCTCCTCATATCTGGAGATCAAACTGGAACAGTGAGTATCTATATATCATATTGTAAAAATATGTTACATTTCAATTTAAAATTAATATTTTATGTCACAGGTTAGAATTTATAAATTTAAACCTGAGCCATATGCCATAGAGAGCAGTTTTTTGTCCTTACAAGCAAGTTCAAAGAAAGGAAGCAATATTGTTCAAAGTGTTAAACTTGTGAAGGTGAATGGAGCAGTGGTTTCAATAACTACAAGTCATGACTCTAAACATATTGCTGTGGGGTCAGATCAAGGATATGTAAGATATCATTTTTTTCCTTTTTTGCCCTTTTTGTAACTAAATTAACGTAAATTAAAAAATGATGAAGGTTTCGGTGATTGACATTGGAGGAGCAACTGTGTTATATGAAAGGCGAATAGCGAGTGAGATCTCGACAGCTGTCATCTCTCTGCAATTTGGGATGTGTAGTTTGCATGGATTTGAGAAAAGTGTGTTAATGGCAGCAACAAAGGATTCATCAGCTTGGGCACTTGAATGTGAAACAGGAAATATTCTCAATAATGGATCAGTTCATCCTAAAAAACCTTCTAAAGCTCTTTTAATCCAAATGTTAGGTAGTAAATAAATCATACTTTTTTTTGTTGTATTGTTCTTTATTTATATGTTACAAATGATATATAGATGAGCAAGGGACAGCTGGCAGAGGATCTAATGCATCTAAGGGTATAATAGGAAATTCGTTTGATGATGGGGTAGTGAAGGAGTCATTGCTACTATGTTCTGAGAAAGCTGTTTACGTGTATTCACTTTCACATGCTGTTCAGGTTAGATTTTAGAACTTGAAGAATTAATTTTCTTGACATATTTTATATACTCTTGTATACTCAATTTTAAATATAAAAATATATATATATACAGGGAGTGAAGAAGGTTTGTTATAAAAAGAAGTTTAATTCCTCAATTTGTTGTTGGGCTTCAACATGTTGTTCTGATGCTGGCCTTGTTCTTGTTTTTACCAATGGGAAAATCGAAATTAGGGGAGTTAGATTTTGATTGAATAAAAAAGTCGATAAACACATGATTTTGATATTATTTACCTTTTTCAGATCCTTGCCTGAATTAACCCTTATGAAGGCAACATCCATAAGAGGCCTTGCACTTTCAACTTCAAAACCGAATTCTTTACCTGATAGTTCAATTTGTGCTTCACACAATGGTGATATTATCATGGTTTTAACTATTATATGATATGATATGATGCACAGGGGCAACAACATAATCTTTTATCTCTCTTGTTGAAGCACCGAAGATGAGTGTCTTATTGGAGGTGATGAAATACATAAACCAGTTTAGTTATCCAATCAGGTATTCCCACCACCCTCTTTTTCTATGTTCTGTACAAGTAATTGATTTCTCCCAAATCTATTTTTTTTTTCAAATTTTCTTTTATCTGCTACTCTCAAGAGGAGATTTACGTTGTTCGTTTGGTTTAGTTTTGCTTTAATAATTGTTAATGGAATTGTCTATTTACATTTGTTTGTTTGTAAAGTATTTATCATTCTGGGCAATGTTTCTCCAACTGACAGGTGTTCGATATGAATTTGGAGCAGCGATATTTTGGAGTCAAATTGTACGTTTTCGTGGTGAATTTGCCCTACACTTTCTTATACCCACAGGCAAGCTTTTCAGGTAACTTATCTATGCGTTTCTGTCCTTTCTTTTTTGTCCTTCAAAGTAAACAAGTGGAGTAAAGGCTTGAAGAGTTTTCTTTTCAGCTACTGTTGCTTATTTTTTAAAAGTTAATATCGTTTATTACTATATAAACATTTTTTACATCAGCATTCTAACTCAATTGTACGTTTTCATTGTATATGAATATTATTTGTTATGTATCTGTGTAGATTTTCTTATACATGAGCATAACAAATTTTAGATAAACGATTTAACCAATATCTTAAATTTTACATAGCATGTGGTCTTTTACTTCTCTTTTCAGGTAAATTACCATCACACCAAGTTACAATTATGTTCAAATGCTGTAAAATCACCAAATTCAATATGAAATTTGATGATTTATATATATTTATGTAGAGGGTGGTGGAATTCAGTAGTTCAATGTGACAATGAAGTTGACCCTATGAAGAAGAGAAGCTGAATCTGAATCTTGGTGATTTTTTCATATTATATTTTTATTGTTGTAGCCATTGACCGATTTTAAAAGCATCTTTTTTTTTTGTTTTTCAAAAGGTAACCAATTGGAGGTGGGTCTCACACAAGAGGTTTCACAGAGAAGGAGATTATGAGAAATAGACAGAGAAGAAGGAGCATAACTGTATCACCGCTTAATAACCCATGTTCAATACGATGACGGTAACCAAAACCCATGGTGATGAAATCCGAAACTTCAATTAGCATCTACGATTCCAAAACCTCAAAATAGATGAGATCATTTGTATCCCCCAACACTCTTGCTGCCTCTCTCTCTCTCTCTGTATCTCCATGTGGAACTTACTTTCAGAAACTATCATCACCACAAGAAAAAAAAAACGTCACATTTTGGAAGACAGAAACAGGAGAATCAGTTTAAACTATGTCCCAGAAGAACATGGTATAACAGTAGTTTTTGCTTATGGTTTGATAATTGTATAAGCTGCAAACATCTTTACTTGAACTTGACTTACATCTTCTTCAGGCCATCAATTAGATGTAGCTCTGATGAAACTGTTGCTTCTCGTATGGCTACAAATGAAATTCAATTCTTTGATTTTTCAAAAGGCATGGTGCATAAGATTAGAATTCCTGGAATAGCTGCAGTAGAGCTTTCTAAGCAACCTGGATCCCATGATGCTGTATTTGTTCCAGAATCTAAGGTTCGTCATTCTAATTCAATACTCACCTTGAATTCTTAGTAATCATTTTTTAAGAGCTTCCATTTCCACTTAATTGTTGATATAAGCTCATTTATCTTGATATATGCATGTACACAGGCTTCCCAAAGTGAACCCATTAGTACAAGAACTTTCTTCAGATGTTCAACAGCTTAACATTGGAACCATGGTTCTACAAGGCTTCTGGTTGTGGTTCAATCAGATGTTGATAAAACTAACCAGAGTAGAGTTACTATGGAAAGTCAAAGCTGTATTATTTGACTTTAGATGAAACTCATAATGGGCTTCTGCCCTTACGTAACTTTATCTTTCTTTATACACTGAATGTAAGTATGTAACATTTCATTTGATAATATTTTTTTTAATTATTAATTATTATAATTTTTGCAGGAAAAGAAGGACCTGTACATGATGTTCAATGGTCGTATTCAGGGAAAGAATTTGCAATTGTTTATGGATGTATCCTTTTTTATTTTAAATTACATATGAATTAAATCTAAGATAATATAGGTAATAGTTTAGGGTTAATCTAAAAAAGACCTTATATTTTGTAGTTTTGCCTGAAAAAGACCTTTTATTTTTTCATTTTTTCCGATCTGGCCCTGGTAGTTTTTTTTTTCAAAAATTTTTTAAAATGTGAGGGTTTATTTGGAAACATTTAGAAGGATGAGGGTTTTTTTTTCTGAAACAAAAAAAAAATTCAAAGTTGAGGACTTTTTTGGAAAAAATGGAAAAATACAAGGTCTTTTTCAGGTATTTCCCTATTGTTCCTTTGGTTGAAGATATGAATATGCTTTTATTTTTCTCTTTTCATTTGCTGAAAAACTTATTGATCCTTTACTTTTGCAGGGTGCTTCCAATGGTAGTGGATAAGGCAAGGGTATTAAAGAGATATATGTATATACTATAAATATTGTCGAGAAGAGTGTTTCAAGCAACAATGGCACTTGTTTTAAAGGTGTCATTCTCATTCAGTTAGTTTTTTTTTTTTGAATCCTCCAAATTCTGATGAGAAGCATATCCATACTAGCTTCAAATCTGTCTTATATTACTAGCAAGGTTCATTGTTAAACATTTTCTGTTTTGTTCATGTGTGATTGATTGTGTATTATTTTCGTTTTTCAGATAAGAAACTCTCAATACCATGGTTTGAATAATGCAAGTGAATCCTTTGAACATGCCATACAACGTGTTATTGATGACAACCTTGAGTTGGGATGTGCATCAACTGAGAAGCTACTGTTATGGGTGTTTTATGAATGTCCAAAAGGTAGCTATTTATTTGCTTATAATCATATGATAAATGCTAATATTATTAGGCTTTTAAAAACAAAAGCTGTGAATATATTTATTTAACTGTACAAGTTTTTCCGTCTATAATCACAGCTTTGGTTTTAACTATAGTTAATGATATGATGCACAGGGGCAAGAACATAATCTTTTTATCTCTGTTGTTGAAGCACTGAAGATGAGTGATGCAAGAGTAATATTATTGTCTGCTCTTCACAATGTCATTCAGATTTTATCCAATTGCTACAATCCACCTGAGTCGCTTGTTGACCGGTTTAACTGGTAAGTTATTGGTGAGTGACATGGTGTCTAGTTGGTATGCATTTGATGACGTGTCAAATACATGCCATGCCATGTCACCTCACCAAAACTTACCGGTTGATTAAACTGGGAATAGTGCATTTTTTCAGTGGAACCAAAACTCAATGATTAATTATTCTCATTTTATTTCTTCATTTTTAACTTTTTAATTTATCAATCTAACCATAATTAATTTCATTCTTGTAAAACCAGGTGTCTGCTATTTAATGACTGGTTTTCCACTTTTCACAGCGGAAGTGGACAGAGGGTTTCTCTTTGCCGTTTTCTTCCACCATTTGTTTCCCAATTTCAGATCTTGAGGTATTTTTGAATCCTTTTGGTTTTAATCTATTAACCAAATTACTAGAAGCAGGAAGTTCCTTTGTTGCATTAAACTTACACTTTTATTGGGTTTGACCTAATTTTTTTTATTAGATTAGGAATTCTGTTATGGAATACTATAATTGTAGGTTGTTTGTTCCTTTTTAATTTTCATGAACACAAACTAATGTTTTACTCTTTTTACAGGATGTTGTCACCTGAAACCATGGTGGGCCCCTTCAAACCCCAACCTCATCCGGGAACCAACATCTCCAAAGGTTAATTTCTTGAAACCAATTACATCAATATTTATCCAAATATATAGAAAGCAATTGATTAAATTACATGAATGGTCCCTGTGGTTTAGGGTAATTTGCGCGTTTGGTCCTTAACTTTTTTTTTAACTCGGAAGGTCGCTACTGTTTGTTTTTGTTACATGCTTGGTCCCTGTCTTACCTTAAAAAACTATTTTTCCCTTGATTTTTTAAAAATATTTAAATAAACACACCCCAACCCCCCCCTCACCTTACCTTACCTATCCGACTATTTTTTTCTATTCAAATAATAGTCTTTTTAAGTAAGACAAGGACCAATAGCGTAATATAAACAAACAGTAGGGACTTTCCGAGTTAAAAATATAAGTTAGGGACCAACGTGCAAATTACCCCAAACCATAGGGACCATTCGTGTAGTTTACTCAAAGCAATTTTGATAAGACTTGTTAGTTTTATATTCAAGAAAAAAGATTGCACTATTGCGTTGTGTTTTCAGTTTTTCCTTTATTAAAGTTTACTTCCAGAACTCTTATTTCTTACAACATTTTAATTTAGAAAAGTTTACCCATTACATTATTGATTATGTATGGCTTTTGACTTATGTTTTCTGTACTAATCATCATGTTAGTGGGAGCATGATAATTATGATAAGTATTGCAAGTTATCAATGTTAATTATAGAAAATAAAGTTTCAATTCTTGAAGTTGCAGGGGTCGGAAAAGTTGTTTTGCTATAATTAAGGGAGAGGATATACTTCATTTCAATTCTAAATGCTTAGATTGAGATTTTAATCACCTTTAGTCAAGGATATATATATGAATTTTATGTTGGAATGGTTCAACATAAGAAAATTCTATATATTGCATTCTCAAAATTCGATTATGATTACAGCATCCCTCCTCATAGTCAAATTTTGAGAACATGGCAAATAAAAAATTTATAGCATGAATCGTGTCCCATAAGTTTCGAGTATAGGATCGATTACATGTGCTATAATATTTATCCTTTCTAAATTTTCCAAATGCCTGGGGCATTAAGAAGGGAAAAGGTCTAAAATTGGATACGACTAAATGATTAAACAATTGTCGAGGACAATATAAGGTTTACCAAAGATTGGTTGCTCAGGGATAGTTGGAAGTATAGTGTTAATTTTGGAAGGACCATATTGACATATTTCTGAAAAGAGGCAAATCTTGTTCAGAAGTGATAGTCAAAATGGGAATATGGAAATATTCTCATAGGTGGAAGTTATTCAATCTGTGTAAGATTAGAAAACTTAAT